CACCAAGTGTCTGTGGTTAGATTATCAAGTCTCGGCAAGAGCTTTCCAGGGTGCAAAACACTTGGAGAATAATAACAAGAAGAAAGCAGCTCCCGGGTGGGATTCTCATGAGGGCAGGAAGTCGCTGCTAGGATAACAGGCCATAGCTTAGTCTGTTAGCCCAGAATTTGATGGTTCAGTCCTAGATGGACCAGTGGTTCATGGTAGAAACCTGAATGTATCCACCTCATGTCCAAGTTTTCCACATGTAGATGGGATTGCAGCCTGTCATTTCTGGCAACCTGGCCAAATATCACTGATTTAGCTTCAGGCTGGAAAGAAATACAGCTCCCTTCCTTTCTCTCTTTTCCTCCTTCCCTCCCTCCCTTCTTCCTTCCTTCCTTCAACAGACATTTATTAAGTGCCTGCAATAACCAGGATATAGCAGCGAGCGAAACAAACTCCCTGACCTTATACACATGCTAGCAATAGCTAGATAAGCAAAAACATTTTAATAATAAAAACATAAAATATTTACTTAATAAAATAATAAAAATAAAATATCATATAATACTTGTATGTAATATATAATATGTATTGTATGTAAATATAAAATAATAGATGAAATTATTTTATGTAGTACTTTATATATATATATACAGACACACACACACATACACATATATGAATGCATGCTCAGTTGCTCAGTTGTGTCCAACTCTTTTGTGACCCCATGCGATGTAGCCCACCAGGCTCCTCTGTCCATGGGAATCTCCAGGCAAGAATACTGGAGTAGATTGCTATTTCCTTCTCCAGGGGATGTTCCCAATCCAGGGATCAAACCTGCATCTCCTGTATTGGCAGGCAGGTTCATTATCACTGAGCCATCTAGGAAGCCATATATATATATATATATATATATTTGGAACCTCCAAGGAGCGGCGGCTGCGCGGACGCAGGAGGGCTGAGAGGAGCTACTGCACGTTCAAGGTCAGGAGGGGTGGCCGTGAGAAGATACCCCTTGTCCAAGGTAAGGAGCAGCGGCTGTGCTTTGCTGGAGTAGCGGTGAAGAGATAGCCCACTTCCAAGGTAAGAGAAACCCAAGTAAGACGGTAGGTGTTGCTAGAGGGCATCAGAGGGCAGACACACTAAAACCATAATCACAGAAAACTAGCCAATCTGATCCCAGGACCACAGCCTTGTCTAACTCAATGAAACTAAGCCATGCCGTGTGGGGCCACCCAAGATGGTCAGGTCATGGTGGAGAGGTCTGACAGAATGTGGTCCACTGGAGAAGGGACTGGCAAACCACTTCAGTATTCTTGCCTTGAGAACCCCATGAACAGTATGAGAAGGCAAAATGATAGGATACTGAAAGAGGAACTCTCCAGGTCGGTAGGTGCCCGATAGGCTACTGGAGATCAGTGGAGAAATAACTCCAGAAAGAATGAAGGGATGGAGCCAAAGCAAAAACAATACTCAGTTGTGGATGGGACTGGTGATAGAAGCAAGGTCCAATGCTATAAAGAGCAATATTGCATAGGAACCTGGAATGTTAGGTCCATGAATCAAGGCAAATTGGAAGTGGTCAAACAGGAGATGGCAAGAGTGAATGTGGACATTCTAGGAATAAGTGAACTAAAATGGATTGGAATGGGTGAATTTAACTCAGATGACCATTATATCTACTACTGTGGGCAGGAATCCCTTAGAAGAAATGGAGGAGCCATCATAGTCAACAAAAGAATCCGAAATGCAGTACTTGGATGCAATCTCAAAAATGACAGAATGATCTCTGTTCATTTCCAAGGCAAACCATTCAATATTACGGTAATCCAAGCCTATGCCCCAACCAGTAATGCTGAAGAAGCCGAAGTTGAATGAAGACCTTTTAGAACTAACACCCCAAAAAGATGTCCTTTTCATTATAGGGGACTGGAATGCAAAAGTAGGAAGTCAAGAAATATCTGGAGTAACAGGCAAATTTGGCCTTGGAGTATGGCATGAAGCAGGGCAAAGGCTAGTAGAGTTTTGCCAAGAGAACGCACTGGTCATAGCAAACACCCTCTTCCAACAACACAAGAGAAGACTCTACACATGGACATCACCAGATGGCCAACACCGAAATCAGACTGATTCTGTTCTTTGCAGCCAAAGATGGAGAAGCTCTATACAGTCAGCAAAAACAAGACCGGGAGCTGACTGTGGCTCAGATCATGAACTCCTTATTGTCAAATTCAGACTTAAACTGAAGAGAGTAGGGATAACCACTAGACCATTCAGGTATGACCTATATCAAATCCCTTATGAATATACAGTGGAAGTGAGAAATAGATTTAAGGGACTAGATCTGATAGACAGAGAGCCTGCTGAACTATGGACGGAGGTTCGTGACATTGTACAGGAGACAGGGATCAAGACCATCCCCATGGAAAAGAAATGAATGGTTGTCTGAGGAGGCCTTACAAATAGCTGTGAAAAGAAGAGAAGCAAAAAGCAAAGGAGAAAAGGAAAGATTTTCCCATTTGAATGCAGAGTTCCAAAGAATAGCAAGGAGAGATAAGAAAACCTTCCTCAGCAATCAATGCAAAGAAATAGAGGAAAACAACAGAATGGGAAAGACTAGAAATCTCTTCAAGAAAATTAGAGATACCAAGGAAACATTTCATGCAAAAATGGGCTCAATAAAGGACAGAAATGGTATGGACCTAACAGAAGCAGAAGATATTAAGAAGAGGTGGCAAGAATACAAAGAAGAACTGTACAAAAAAGATCTTCATGACCCAGATAATCACAATGGTGTGATCACTCACCTAGAGCCAGACATTCTGGAATGTGAAGTCAAGTGGTCCTTAGAAAGCATCACTATGAACAAAGCTAGTGGATGTGATGGAATTCCTGTTGAGCTATTTCAAATCCTGAAAGATGATGCCGTGAAAGTGCTGCACTCAATATGCCAGCAAATTTGGAAAACTCAGCAGTGGCCACAGGACTGGAAAAGGTCTGTTTTCATTCCAATCCCTAAGAAAGGCAATCCCAAAGAATGCTCAAACTATTGCACAATTGCACTCATCTCACACGCTAGTAAAGTAATGCTCAAAATTCTCCAAGCCAGGCTTCAGCAATATGTGAACCGAGAACTTCCAGATGTTCAAGCTGGTTTCAAAAGGCAGAGGAGCCAGAGATCAAATTGCCAACATTCGCTGGATCATCGAAAAAGCAAGAGAGTTCCAGAAAAACATCTATTTCTGCTTTATTGACTACGCCAAAGCCTTCGACTGTGTGGATCACAATAAACTGTGGAAAATTCTGAAGGAGATGGGAATACCAGACCACCTGACCTGCCTCTTGAGAAACCTGTATGCAGGTCAGGAAGCAACAGTTAGAACTGGACATGGAACAACAGACTGGTTCCAAATAGGAAAAGGAGTACATCAAGGCTGTATATTGTCACCCTGCTTATTTAACTTATATGCAGAGTACATCATGAGAAACGCTGGGCTGGAAGAAGCGCAAGCTGGAATTAAGATTCCCGGGAGAAATATCAATAACCTCAGATATGCAGATGACACCACCCTTATGGCAGAAAGTGAAGAGGAACTAAAAAGCCTCTTGATGAAAGGGAAAGAGGAGAGTGAAAAAGTTGGCTTAAAGTTCAACATTCAGAAAATTAAGATCATGGCATCTGGCCCTATCACCTCATGGGAAATAGATGGGGAAACAGTGGAAGCAGTGTCAGACTTCATTTTTTGGGGCTCCAAAATCACTGCAGATGGTGACTGCAGCCATGAAATTAAAAGACGCTTACTCCTTGGAAGGAAAGTTATGACCAAACTAGATAGCACATTAAAAAGCAGAGACATTACTTTGCCAACAAAGGTCCATCTGGTCAAGGCTATGGTTTTTCCAGTGGTCATGTATGGATGTGAGAGTTGGACTGTGAAGAAAGCTGAGCGCCGAAAAATTGATGTTTTTGAACTGTGGTGTTGGAGGAGACTCTTGAGAGTCCCTTGGACTGCAAGGAGATCCAACCAGTCCATCCTAAAGGAGATCAGTCCTAGGTGTTCACTAGAAGGACTGATGCTGAAGCTGAAACTCCAGTACTTTGGCCATCTCATGCGAAGAGTTGACTCATTGGAAAAGACCCTGATGCTGGGAGGGATTGGGGGCAGGAGGAGAAGGGGACGACAGAGGATGAGATGGCTGGATGGCATCACCGACTCGATGGGCATGAGTTTGAGTAAACTCCGGGAGTTTGTGATGGACAGGGAGGCCTGGCGTGCTGCGATTCATGGGGTCGCAAAGAGTCGGACACAACTGAGCAACTGAACTGAACTGAACTGATTTGGAACAGAGCTATCAATCTGAAGAACTGATGCTATCACCTGAGTGGATCGCACTGGGACAGAGTCCTGGATGAGACAAGAGTGTCGTTGGGGGAAGTGTCACCTGCAGAGAAGCTTTGAGTCAGTTCCCTGGCAGCTGCATGACCTGGAGCAAGGCGATAACTTCTGGGAAGCTTGTTTCCATGGTTTAAAATAAAGCTTAAAGCTAAGCCCTACTGGGGGTGGTGGGGGAAGCTTCCCAAGTGGCTCAGTGGTTAAAAAAAAAAAAAAAGTCACCTGCTAATGCAGGAGCTGCAGGAGCTTCAGGTTCGATCCCTGGGTCCGGAAGATCCCCTGCAAGAAGAAATGGCAGTATTCTTGCCTGGAGAATCCCATGGACCGAGGAGCCTGGTGGATTACAGTCCATGGGGTCTCAAAGAGTTGGACTCTACTGAGTGAGTGGGAGATTAAATGCAAGAAAGCCTGGGGAGGCCTGGCCCCCTGTATGAACTGGGCCAGGTGGGTGCTATCTGGCTGAGGGCTCATCACCCCACTCTTCCTCAGGACCAGGGCACCCCTCAATCTCTCTGGGGCTCTTTCTCAATCCATACAAGGGGGAAACAACCCTGCGCCCCTCCTCAAAAGAATGCGAAAGAGGGGGGGAGGTAGCAAGTGCAAAAATGCTTTGACCCAGACCTAGGATAAAGGTCTGCCGAGAATTGGAGCACAGGGGAGAGGACGCCCTCCCCCCGGGGCGTCGGGGCGAGGCCTCCAGCACCTGGACGGGCTGAGACCCAGATGGAGGGAGCCGGATTTGCCCGCCCGGGAAAAGGCTGGGACGAGAGCCAGTCCCGGGCGGAGGCACAGCAGAAGGGCGGCTCCAGTGACCGCCAGGAAGCAGCAATGCGGCAACACAAACAGGAAGCAGGACCGCGGGTGAGGGGATGGGGCCCCGTGAGCGCCGGGAAGAGCCAGGCGAGGTGGTGAGGGCGCCGCCCCCACCCCGCATGCTGGGGGAGCAGGACCGGGTGTGGGGTGGGGGGCGGCTGTCAGCCCAGGGATCCTAGGGAGACCGACATCCTTATCTATGTACCTAGTAATGCGCCTTCTTACACGTTAAAAACAACCCCCCCCCCCCCCCGAAAAACAGAGAGCTGCTGAGTTGCAGTTCTCTTCCCCCTAATTCTGTCGGGAAAGGGTTTTTCTACTTTCTTTTTACCCACTTGGGCTTTCCTGGTGGCTCAGCGGTAAAGAACCTGCTTGCCAATTCAGGAGACTGAGGGTTTGATCCCTGGGTAGGAAAGATGTCCTGGAGAAGGAAACGCGGCAACCCACTCCGGTATTCTTGCCTGGGAAATCTCATGGACGGATAAGGTTGGCGGGCTACAGTCCATAGAGGTGACAAAGGGTGGGATACGACTTAGCGACCCAACAGGAACTTACCCACTTAGGCATCTATCTTTCATTAGTGAAATAGCATTGCATCCCTGCCTGCCATCACCCTCTGCTGATTCCAGAGGCGGGGCACTGGGGTGGGAGCGCCTGCCTGGTTATTAGGAACCTGCCTAGAAGGGGCATCTAGCAGATGATTGACTCCCAGTGAGAACAGGATCTGCATGGAAAATAACAAGAGTGGGTTGCAGATTGATTCATGGAACTGAGCACGGAGCGGCCCAAACTCCATCCTTTCTTCTGAGTTCCATCTCCAGTCTCTTGTCAGTCTCAAAATTGATAGAGCAGCCTGAAGCCATTGAATAGAGTTATGTGGGCAATCATCTTTCTAATTCTTGCACAGAGGTGCCAATATGTCAGGAGGACCCAGGCAAGGGGACAGTGGGTTGGCTTTATTTTGCATGATGACAAGCAAACACTTGAAAAGAGCTCATGAGCTTTGCAGCAGCTGGGAAAAAAGAGAAGGCCCCTGCATGGATGCCTGGCTCCACTCCAGTAGCCCTGCACAGTGAAAAAAGGGGACTGCTAACAAAAAGGTCATTCAGTGGCTCCCCTGTCAGCCTCAAAGGTAACAAGTGTGGATGGAGCTTCCCTGGTGGCTCAGATGGTAAAGAATCTGCCTGCAATGTGGGAGACCCAGGTTCGATCCCTGGGTGAGGAAGATCCCCTGGAGAAGGGCATGGCAACCTACTCCAGTATTCTTGCCTGGAGAATTCTGTGGACAGAGAGGCCTGGTGGGCTACAGTCCACGGGGTCTCAAAGAGTCAGATACGACTGAGGGACTATAACCCACACACACATGGATGGAGCAGATGTCAGAAGATGGAGCACTGTTTTGGAAAACTGCCAAGATATTTAGAAACAGCGCTTTCTTATGAACCTGAGCATGATGCTGAAGGTCCTTTAAAATCAAACGTCCCAGGTGCCACCTGTATCTAACATGGCGATAGGATGAGTGCCCGAGCGCCCACTGATACTGGAAGTGCTCTTAAGAAACAGCCCGGACTGATTGTTCTGGCACAAACAAATCACAGACTAATTTACGTATTCCTGCAGCTGCACCCCAGCCCAGGCGAGGAGTCGGCCAATTCACAGTTGACTAGTGCTGCCTCGTTCTTTGCAGATTTTGGCATTTAACTGTAATTAAGATTTATTGTTCACTAGCTCACAGGTCAGGGCAAGCATGACAATATGGGTAACTTTTCTGTTTACTAGTAAAATGTCTGGCAGGGAGGGGAAGCCTCAAACCTTCCAAGCAGAACTTGACAGAAATAAATAGCACCTCTCCACTCCGGGACAGGCGCATGACCGATTTTAATCAGACACGAGGGTTCTCTTTAAGGGAGGGCAGGGAGAAATCAGCAAGAGCTAGTGAAGTGTGCTGTTGCTTTTGCACCAGAAGGGGATGGGCTGGAAGCCAAATCAATTATTGCTGATCTTCTGGATTTGGGGAAGGGACGGTCTGCCCAGTGTGGGAGGCCGGGATGGATGGAGACCTTGATGCCGACAAAGGTGCTGTGGAGATTGAGATCTGCCAGTCTTCACAGCCCCTCCTTGCCACCGAGAGGAGCATCCTTGCTCATCTCTCCCCGCTCTCAAGGATGCCCTTGGACCAAATCAGGTGGCTGGTGGAGGAGGGAGGCAGGTTTCAGCAGTCAGTGACTGTTCACCTGTTTCTGCGTCTGTCTGCTGAGGTCCTGTGTGGGTGACCCACGACACAGTGGGTGTGAATGAACCAACAGTCTGTAAGCAGACGGATGAAGAAGGGCATCGCATCCCTCCTCGTTGATTAGAAGGCAGAAATGCTGAATCTAATGTCCTTCAGTTTCCTCGCATCTATAATTTATTGTCTATTATTGTTTGTCCTCCATGGGGTCTCTTTGTCACTGCCTATGTGAAATAAGAAAACATTACTCACACGAACCAGAGATTCAGACCCTGAGCTTGCTCTATTTCTCTTGCCTCCTGATAGAGGATGGAAAAGAAAGACAAACACTTTGCTCTATAGTGACATCGTTGACTCCAGAATATGATTTTATATGATTTTGTAAACATATATTTGTATATCACTCTATAAACTGTACACCATTCAGATGGTGGCTTATGAAAATGCATACAATATTTTAGGAAAAAATTAAAATTAAATGAAGGAAAAATTGCATGATTCCTGGGATCCTCCTGTTTCATGTTGTCTATTAATATTCCAGGTACCAATTCATGGAAGTTAAAGACAGTTAGTTCTGGTCTCAGCTATCCAGGACTTCCCCTGTCGCTTTAATTAGACATCGGATCTTGAGATTCTAAGAAGTATAAGAGAGGTTTTGTTTTGATGTTATGAGGAGACTGTAAAAGCAAGTATCTTTCCCAAAGGTAAAAGGGGGAAGAATGGGTGTGAAATTCATGTTAACGGTGGATAGAGACAAAATCTGAAGAAAGATTTAAAAGAAAACTTCACAAATATTTTACCAACCAAAGGTGTTTTCTAGTCCTGGACACCAGATTTCTAGTCTCGTGGAATTCAGTTCAATGACAATGATGCTGAATCACAGGAGAGGAAAATATAATTCCAAGAGGGTAGATCCTAATATTTAGATCCAGTTGTTCGTGGGGTTTTAACCACTTAAAGGAAAGTAAGACCTACCTTTCACTAAAGTCGCTATCACTCGTTTGATTTTCAGATCTTGCCAGCATTCCTGTCGCCCAGGGACACTGAGAAAGGCCCAGGGAGGCTGAAGGGAGTCTCAACTTGACCGTAAACGTGAGCCTCGCGTGCAGAGCCAAGGGACGTTGGTCCTTGGTGATGCTGGGCAAGGTGATCTCGGGGAACACAGACATCACTCCAGAGCTTCCCGAGTTGCTGATCTAAGCAAAGCACATTGATAAACTTGGGCCTGGGCTGGCCTGACGCAGATGGGCATAGAAAATGACGTGGAGGATGCTACAGCCATTTAACAGACAGGACATACTGGAGCCCACTGCTCTTGGGTCCAAACAATGGGAGGAGGAGAGAGGGAGCCGTGGCGGCTCGGAACCGGTGGCCAGCTGGGGGGGGCTCACTCTACTTTCATCCAGGGGCTTTGTGGAGGAAGCGGGGTCTCAGGAGCTAGTAGAATGATTGCAGGAGACAGCTTGATGAAATGGGATGGGGCAAGATTCCAGGCTCAGGGACTCCTGCCCAGAACGAAGGGAACTTGAAGGAGGGAAGATGCTTAGCTGAAGGGGCAGTGGGAAGAACTCCAAAGAAGGAAGTGGAGGAATGGGCTGTAATGTAGCTGAGTGGCTTGGGTTCTTGATGTGTGCTCAGTCACTCAGTTGTGTCCGACTCTTTGTGACCCCATGGACTATAGCCCATGAGGGCTGTCTGTCCATGGGATTATCCCAGCAAGAATACTAGAGTGGGTTGCCATTTCCTTCTCCAGGGGATCCTCTCAAACCAGGGATGGAACCTGGTTTGTGTCTCCTGCATTGGCAGGCAGATTCTTTACCACAGGGCCAGAAGCCCCTCTTGATGTATGTAGGAGATCCTTACCCTCTCAACACAATTGCAGCTTCCCCATCTTTGCTGAAAATGTAATTACTTGTTATATACTTGTTTACAACCATGTATATTAGTTTATAACAATGTATACTTGTCTCTGTATTTATGCTTTGTTTCTTAGGAATAATATCATGCCCATATTAGTCATCACATTCTTAATGCAATGGTCAAGAATGAGAGAGGATTCATCAAAGAATGCCCAGATTAGGGAGAAAATGGATCAGAACCCAGAGAAAATAACTCCATTGTTTGAAAATTTTAAAAATGTGTTTAAAGAAGAGGAGCATGGAGTAATTATTATTTCGTGAGACACTAACCACTGGGAATTTCCTTTTACAAGGAGAAAGGTAAACAATAGTTTTCTGTCTTCAAGGAAGAAGCATAGAACTGTCAGAGATTTTGGGGTGCTTTAAGCAGATACTGTGGTGGTGGTGGTGGTTTGGGCTCCCCTGGTGGCTCAGTTGGTAAAGAATCCACCTACAATGCAGGAGACGTGGGTTCAATCCCTTAGTGGGGAAGATCCCCTGGAGAAGGAAATGGCAACCCACTCCAGTATTCTTGTCTGGGAAATCCCATGGACAGAGGAGACTGGCGGGCTACCCCTCCACCCCCTACCACGGGGGTCGCCAGAGTCAGAATTAGCCCTTAAAAATACCATAGTAATGTCAATGCCCATCGATAGTGTGTGAGACTGGCTATCTTCCAATGCCCTTCCCAGGAATAGAAGTTGTCAGTGCTTATGATGTCACAGGCCAAGAGCTGGTGTCGTGTTTTTATTCTGGTCTTCTCTGACTGTGAGGATAAGCCCTACCCCAAATCAAAATCCCTGTCTAGGTTGAACTCTCTCATCTATTTGACCACTTGCAACTCTTCTGTGAATTGCCTGTTCAACCCCCTTGCCCATTTTTCTACTAGGTGCTTTATCATTTATTATTTTGCAGAAGTCTTTTGTGTATTAGGGACACACAGCTCATGCAAAAGAGCTCTCATGCCATTATACCCTGATCTGCATTCAGTAGAACTGAGTTTCTTTTTCTCTCTAATTTTATTTTATGTTGGGGTATAGTTGATTAACAATGTTGTGTCAGTTCCAGATGTACAGCAGAGTGATTCAGTTATAATATATCCATGTATCTATTCTTTTTCAAAATCTTTTCCCATTTAGGTTATTACAGAGTATTGAGCATAGTTCCCTGTGCTATACAGTAGGCCTTTGTTGGTTATCTGTTTTAGATATATTAATAGGCGGTTCTCCATTTCAATCCCAAACTCTCAATCTATCCTTTCCCCTCAGCCCTTCTCCCTGGTAACTGTGCGTTTTGTCTCCAAGTCTGTGAGTCTGGAACTGCTTTACTTAATTTGCCCATTTAACAATCTAAAGAGGCCATTTCAGAGTTTTTGTTTATATTTGTTTGCTTATTAATGGAATTGAACATTTTATTAGAAATTTATATTTCTTTTGCAAATATCCCTTTGCCCATTCTGGTGGGGAGGTGCTGACAGTGTTTTTGTTACTGTTTTGTAGGCTATGAGCCCAGGGTCTCGGATTTGTGGTAAATAATTTGTCGCTCAAATTTTAGGTACTCAGGTATCCGTGAGCTTTTTTGCGGGACTTCTAGCTTTGTGGACAGAGTGGGGAGAAGGTATATGTTTCAACACTGACTTGTATTCTCCTTAAATTTAGAAATCACACAGAACTCTGCTAGTTGGCCTTTCTGCCAGCTCTCACCCCTGCCTCTGCCTGATGGCACCCCATCCTCGCTAGCACTGTGCCCTGCCATTCGCTGTCACTGGTAACCTCTCCATCTCTGGTCCCCACGAGATGAGATAAGCCACATGCAGTGCAGGGTCTGTGTCGGGGAGGGGCTTCTTGACCGCATCCTGACATTTCATTAAGGTGCCAGCACACACCTGTTTGGGATGAGTTCAGCCCAAGGTCTCTGAATCTGCGACATCAGTTTCCGGCCACACCTGTCCCGGGACATGAGTCTTACAGGAGACCCAGGACTTCTCTCCGGAGGCTGCATCGCAGCCCCGACACCCGGCTCACGAGGACGCGTATGTGTCCTCTTCTCTCCACTTCTCCAGCAGCGTCTGTGGAAACACACACTTAGCTTGGGCACCTCCCAGCCCAGCCAGGTCACCAGCAAGCTTCATGCACATGCAGGGGCTCAGCCCTGGGTGTGGGTACCCAGTGTATCAAAGCAACCCCACCGGCAAGAGCAGACTGTGTCACCACCCCAGGAGACAGGCCCGAGCACTTACTGTATACTCGGCACTTTACGTACTTTTCATTTTTTTATTTCAACAACCCAGCAGCATAGCCATTTGTGTTTAAAAGTGAAGCCATGAGACTTCCCTGGTGGACCAGTGGTTGAGAATACACCTGCAATGCAGGGGGTTTGGGTTTGATCCCTGCTCGGGGAACTAAGGTGCCATGTGTCTCAGAGCAACTAAGTCTGAGTGCCACAACTACTGAGAAGTCCACGAGCTGCAACTGAGACTCTGCTGCTGCTAAGTTGCTTCAGTTGTGTCCGACTCTGTGATCCCATAGACGGCAGCCCACCAGGATCCCCCATCCCTGGGATTCTCCAGGCAAGAACACTGGAGTGGGTTGCCATTTCCTTCTCCAATGTGTGAAAGTGAAAAGTGAAAGTGAAGTCGCTCAGTCGTGTCCGACTCTTAGTGACCCCATGGACTGCAGCCCCCCAGGCTCCTCCATCCCTGGGATTCTCCAGGCAAGAGTACTGGAGTGGGCTGCCATTGCCTTCTCCGAACTGAGACTCTAAGCAGCCAAAAATAAATAAATAAAATATTAAAAAAAATTAAAGTGAAGTCATTGGGAAATGAGCAACATTAAGGAAACCCAGCCAGCATGCCGGCAATGGGTTTCGAACTTAGGTCTTCTGGCTGCAAAGTCTGCACGTGAAAGTTCCCTGCGGTGCCAGCCCTCTGCTGCTGATGGCGGGCTTTCAGCCTGCAGGGCAGGTTTGGGGGCAGGTAGGGAGGGCAGAGTCGGTGTCCTGGGCGGGACTCCATGACCACACTTAGTACTGCCCACCCTTCTTGCCCTCTGCCCCACCCCCATGCTGCCCACTCCCCACATCAGCACCTGTCTTCACTCTGTCCTTTGTTTATCATTCATTATGCTGTCTGTTCACTGCCATGTCCCCAACATCCAGGGAGGCATCTTGACTTTGCAAACAAAACATGTCCTGCTTGCCCTGGAAGACGGTCGTCTGGAGAGATTTCCTGCAGACAGCTGTGCTCATCACTGCTCGGAGCTCTTATAAACTGCAGTCACAGAGGGTGGCACTTCCTGCCGGGGAGAAACCTCGGCCTCTCCCTGACCTCTCTCATTTTCCCTTGCTGTCCATCTTGGAATCTCTCTCTCATTTGCATTGAGGGCCCCGTTCTGCCAACCTCAGTACGCCCGCCCACCCACCCTCACCCCTTGTCCCGGGCAGGGAAAAGACAGCATGGTTTGGAGGAGGAGGCAGGGGACAGACAGACAGTACAAGGCGGGCTGTGTCCACCTCCCAGTCCCTACAGGGCCATTTGGCTGCCCTCGGCTGATCCTCCCCAGAACCACTCAGGGCCTCAGGCTGGCAACATTCCTCAGCTCCACTGGTCAATTACATCATCGAATAAATACAGGTGGAAGAAGCAGGGGTTCCTTCCTGGCCCCTTTCTAGAACCTTCCTTGAACGACATGATTCCTGTCCGCAGCTGCAGCTGAGACTCTGTGTGTGTGTGTGTGTGTGTGTGTGTGTGTGTGTGTGAGGGTGCCACTTGAGACCACAGCCCCTCCTTCCCCAGCTCCAGACTGCATTCTGCCTCTCTCCCTCCCTCCCTCTCTCTCTCTGAGGCCCTCAGTCATTCTCAGTCCAAGTTTTTAAAAGGGGAAGGATTGGGAAGCAAACCCAAACTCTGGTTTTTGAGTGGGGAGAAGGCTTTCACATGAAGAAATAAAAGAACATGCATTAATAGCTCAGAAAACAATGGTAATATTTAATTAACCTTTTGGAATGGCTTCTCTGCAAATGTGCACGTGTCAGCTCGTCCTCGGAACAGAAGGACTGTGTGTGCCGCTGCCGAGCTCAACAGGCTGGTCCGTGCCTTTCTTCCATGGGGACTTCACAGTGAGGGGGGGTGGGGGTGGGGGGTGGTGGGAAGTAAGGTCTGCTCCCGTCCCCTGCCCCCAAATCCCTTGTTTTACTTCAAAAATGCATGCATACGATCCAGCTGTCCTCATCAGGGCTGGATGTGGCCTGTGGGGCTGCACAACTGAGAGCCCAAGTTGCAGCCTGTCCCCCTCCCCTGT